TGAAACATATCCAGTCAGACTGAAGGTTTTAAGTTATAGATAATACTTACAATAGCTACAGATAATAATCTGGAACTATATTAAGATTGGTATTCTGAAGCAGAGGTCCTATTAATCAGTTTTTTATTATCTTTCTCCTCTTGATTGCTACAGCGTATATGAAATATATATTTGAGTACTGAGAGGAACAAATTCTTATCTGTTGTGTTTTAAGGCTGGATATCATACACAGTGGTGAAAGATTTTCTCAGTGAAGAAATTTTTTTAACCAGATGAGAATTTTGCAAAAGGGTTAATTTTCTGGACATGATAATGATGTTAGTGTTATTAGTACAGAACATAATGAGGCTATATGCAAGTCCCCTTCACACTCTCCTCTTCAATAAAATCCCTGTTGCTAGAAGTGTTATAATATAGAAGGATGTAGAAAGAAATGAGAATAAATTAAGGTTGTTAAAGAAAGTATGTCCATTACACTTCTGTCAAATGTAACATCCAGACTTGAGCACAAATAGGATTGTAATAACCTCTCAAACCTCTTTTTTAGTATTCAGTGTTTGTATATCACTTCTTCTTTTTTTCTCTGCTTAGCAAACAATGATTGATATTATTAGTCAGAATGCAAATATTTCTTTTAAGTAGTAATAGACTTACTTGTATTGGGTGAAGGCCTATTCTGAAATGTCTTTAGGTTATATGACCACCCTGCTATTTCTTTGATAACTGCCTGTTTTAAACTGTTACTTTGTTCCTCTAGAAGAATGTAATGTCCTCAGAAAAATAATTTTTGGGAATTAGTAGAACTATACACAATCCCATCATTGGGATGAGCAACAATATTCTACCAATGTTACAGTTTACCTTCTGCTTCCTTCCTTCCTGTCTTAACATTCCATTTTCCCACTAATTCTGATAATTTTTCATGTCATTAAGCATTTCTCCTTTCTCTGGACACTTGTGTGAATGTCTGGCATGAGTTAAACTCTGGGATGAACCATGTGCTGTTTGTTTATTTTGATAAAAATCTTGTGAAGCTGTAAATAAGAAATACATATCCCAGAACAGGCAATTAGACACATTTTGGAAGTCTTAAATCTTCTCAATGCTTCCTCTAATCTTACTCTGTTGGGATATTACAAAGATGAAATATCTTGTGCCATCATTTTATAGTTATATTTCTATATTGAATATAAAATATAAATATTACTTGTGGAGCACTCAATATCAAATTTGATCATCCAATTTTAATTTTTCTCCGAGCCTTTCACAGATTTCCATAATCTGCTGCCTAATTTTAATAAAATAATTACTACATGTGCATCTACGTTAGTGTTTTGCTGAGTTCAGGAGTGAGCTTTTAAAATGAATGTCCTAGTTTTCCCCACCTGCTGTATTTTGGTTTGCATCACAGAATATTCTCTAAGAACATAAATTGTTTTTCATATAATAAAACCAGAACATGCTTTCTAGGAGTGCACCTTACGCCACCCCAACCCCTAAAGGGCAGTCAGTCTGTGGTACCTGACTGGCATTAGTTCAAAGTTAATTCCCCTGAAACACAAAGAACGGGTATTGCTTCGCTCCCCAAATCTATTGCAACTTGTTCATGCAGTCATAGGCAAAGTACTGCAACATAGCTGAGGTAATTCGAGCTGGCTTTTGATTTTTCTTGCTCAGTTATTGAGGTAGTAGAATTAGCAACATAAATAACATTGTGCTTTTAAATTATGTTTTCATGTGTTGATCAAGACATCATTGCACCACATTATCATTATTATGTAGTTGAAAATCAATAGGACTGAAGGATGGAGTGGTAAACTGATTTGAAGGTCATACAAAACTGGGAGTAAAAGTCAGGTGTCTTGTCATGCTGTTTAAAGCTGTAAGTGCTCAACTACATTTCATAATATCATAATGGATACCAGGGGATCTGTTAATGTCATCAGCTTCCAATTATTCTCTTGATTAACTGTTTATTTAGTCTCATTATACAGTTGGATGTTCTGTCTTGCCTTGCCATTTACAATTGGCATGGTTGTCCAATGATCACTTGCACCAATAATCGCATCTCACATTAAGAGGGAATTTTAGACAGTCGTATAGTTCCTACTAAAATAGTTTCCTTCTGTGCCAGAAGCGTACCCACAAAGAGAAGGTTAGCAGCTTGGGTAGTTTTGGATATAGTTTTAAAGTAGCATGTATATCACTGGTGGTAAACATGGTTCACAGTATGCTGAAGAAAGAAAGCCTCTATGGTTGCTGCTTAGAAAATCACATAAAGCTGGCATTTTCTGGTTTTGTTTGTTACTCTTAACACTTGCAGAGCTGTTCTGTTGTTTGGTTTTAGGATTAAAACCTATTCATAATTTCATCTTGAAAGGTCCTTGGAACAGTTTTTAAAGAAACTTCTAGGAGGCAGATTTCCGTTTCAATGTTAATATGTTAATAAAATGCAGCTAAATATGAAGGAAGCTGACATAAAATCTCTTTCACATTCTCTCTCTCGCACACACTCACACACAAGCTGTGAATGAATGGCCAGTTAATAGCACCTGAAACTAATCAGAGTCCTCTTAAGAAGGAGCTTCGACACTTGTATAGTTTGGAGGAGTTGTTGTTTAACAGGAGGAGCTGTTAGTACCTTTATGACAATAATATCTACACAGAAAAATAGAGTATTGCAAGGGGTGGGGGGAAAGCTCAAAGCCATTGTTTGGAAATGCTATACTTCGCTTCACCAGTTACTGTGATTTCATCTTAACCTCTGACATATGAGTGTAGGCTTTTTAGGAAGTTAAAAATCCTGTCATTAAAATTAAGGTGTGTGTGAACCTGATGTGAAAATGACCATAGTGGGGACTAGATCAAGGATTGACTCAGCCCAACATCTCATATGTTTGTGTCCAAAAGCAGACTGTCTTGGAAGTAGTATAAGAAAAAGATAAAACTTTTCCACAAAATATTCCTCTACTCTCCAATAATTTGCAGCTCAGGGATCTCCTGAACCAGAAGTGCATCTTCATATCCATGAACCTTTGTGTTTCAGATTCTCCTTGCTCTTTTCTGTTTTTTTCCCCTCTACAAGACCCTGCTGCAACAAGTTCTGCAGCTTAACTACACATTGTGTACTATGCCTTTGTTTTCCTCTGAGCCTACTTTCTTTGCAGCCCTCTCTCTTTATTGAACAAGTTGTTTCTTATTCACCTTTTCTATGCCACTCAGGATTGTACAATCTTTATTGTATCCTCTCCCAGTTATGTCTTTCCAGCCTTTTATTTTTGGATGCTTTTTATATTTGAAACAAAGTTTGTATGATTGTTTCAAGGAACAAGGTCATTTGGTTTCATAAGCAACCTATAGATTCCTTTGTTGCAAACATCACTGTTAAAGAGGTTGGATATCTCAAATATTTGGTGCTATCAAGAAACAAAGCTTAAAAGCAATTGCCACCCTAAGTAAAATATTCACCAGACACTTTTTTAAATATGAAGATTTATTGGTGCTTATGTAAGAAAATACTTTGAAAAGAAAGTATAGCAGGGGAGACTTACACAGGAGATCTTCTGTTTTAAAGGAAATATGCCTTTTTTAAAAAATCTAACTGAAGGAATAATTCCTAGAAAGATGGAAGACATTTAGATGCTATGATGTCGCAGCACTTCCATGTGTATAGGCAGTCTCAATGTGTTGATTTTGAAATGATCAATTAGATCCGAGAACTAAAAAAACCTGATCATTGTTCTTCAGTGATTCCAGAAAACAGAGCCCTAGAAAGGTGAATTAAAAAGGAAAAAAAAGGGTAGAAAATGCATTGGGTAACTAAATAAATATGCGTTCAGTTATTTAATTATATATATAAATTTAACTTCATATATAAAAATTATTCTGGTATGAACCAGATTTGAACAGATTTATATACAAACAGTGCAAAATAACCCAAACAACCAAAACACCAACTGAACAACAAAAAATCCCCAACTTTGCTTTTTTTTTTTTTGTGGTGACTTGGAAGGCAGCACTAGGTCAATCGATTTAGATGGCATAAAGTAAATGGATAAGCTATTTATTATTTATATGTAAATATAGAGTAGTTTTTGCCATAGTAGTTTTTATTTTTGGGTAAGTTTTAGTCACTTTTTTCCCCGAAGGATGAGAAGGGAAAACTGTAAAGAAAAATTGGACTTGTGTTCTAATTGCACTTTTGGTGAAATAATGGAAGTCTTAAAATGATTTTACATTACTCTGTAGACTAAGGTACAAAAATGCTAATTTATTGCTAGACTGCAGCGTCCAATTTGCATTCCAAATCAGACTGCAGAGCTCCCCAAATGAGTAGGTGCCCTCACAGTGTGTTTAACCTATGCTTTTCCTGAGTAAATTCATAACAGTATGTGTGTTTGTACGTGCTTCCTCACATACATACCCACATGTGGTGCTTCACCATTTTAAGAAGGTCCAGGTTTTTTAATAGGTATTTGAAGTGTACAGCTAATTTTGGATATTAGCAATCAGAAAAAGCATTGATGCAAGTATCATTTTAAATCCCTGAACTGCCCCTAAATTCCTGTTTACTGTGACACTGACAGATAATGTGTCAGTAATATTAGGGTGCATATAATTTGCAGTGATTAATGTCATGTATTAAATTGTGCTCGTATGCGTGTATAAACACACAGTTGCATACAAAACGGTACTGTTATAAAGATGTTTTCTAGAATATTGTAAGGGTAATAGTGTATATTTGTTGTTAGTTCCACATGATGCAGATACATGAGAAGGAGGGAAATGAAGAGTCATATTATTCTTAAATGGTCTGATACAGGAGGAGGGGGAGGACGGGGGGGGGGAGAGAGAGAGAGAGAAAGACAAGTAATACAGCATAAAGAACCCACAGGCATCTGGGCTTTCCCACTTCAGTAGCAAATAGGGGGAATTATGGGTTGGTGGTCTGCTTCCCGTTAGGAGGACACCCCTCCATCTGTTTTCAGTACAGCCTGTTTCCAATTTAAAACACAGATTTCAATACAAACCTCAATTTCTTTTCTCCATTTTATATGCAAAGTGAGGCTTATGAATCGGTGTCATTGCCATAAGGGCTCAGACCAAATTTCCCCCCAAAATTCACAGGCTGTTCATTTGAATACCTGCTTACAGTGGTACACAATGGGCAGCTTTGAGAAGAAAAATTGATAATCTTCACGGAAGAGTAATTTGAATGAAATTACACTTGACAGCCTGTCTCCAAGCAAACAAGGAGAGTGAGGGAGCCTTAGCTAAGCTCTGAGGACTTGCCTAAGCCTCTGCTGTTGGAGCTTCCCAGGGAAAAAAAATCCACACTTTTTCCTACATCTGACTGAAGCTTTTGATTAATTCTCTGTAGCTGTTTCTAGTGAAGAAAGGTAGCCATGGAAGAGAATATGGAAGAGGGACAAACACAGAAAGGTATTGTGATAAAATTGCTTTCTCTTTGCAAGGAGATAATTATTTTGCTGTTCCTTATTTGCTTTAGCAGCATGCTGTAAGGTTAGTGAATATCCTTATGTGACAGATGGGGAAAGATTCTCCCCCTCCCCCCCCTACCATTTACTTCACTTGTCTCTTTTGCAATAGCACCTAGCATTAATATAGTGACTGTCATCTGATATCTAGTATTAAAAGAGTCTAAACAGTGAATTTTACATCTATAATAATAATATTGCAAGCATTTAATGCAGCCTGCTTCCTAGACCAGTCTTTGTTAACCTTCATTTATTTCATGTTTTCACGCTTGTCGAGCTGGGTCAAGGGAGTCTAGTGTGAACTGTGAGAGAGCTGCTCACACAGTATTTGGAGCCGGTTGCAGTTGGATATCTAACAATGTAACCAGTATTTACACCTTGAATGAGAGTCCAAACTGAACAAAGACATGGGGTATATTTTGTATATATTTAGGCAGTGTTGAAATTTCCCTCTGCCTTTTATCCACTTTTGTTTTGCGATGTGATGAAGCAGCATTGCTATAGTTCTAATATTTGCATTGTACAGATTTGCATTTTGCTGAAATTCATTTTGCACGTTGCAGCTGAAATTGCTTTAGCAAGATGTACGCAGCATGTTCAGAGCATTTCTGTTCCACTGTTCCTGGTCAAGTTGAAAATAACTGCACGTTATGGGATGTGTTAGCATTTAAAGGTGCAATTTAAAATTATTGCAGACTGTTTATTAATTTGTGAATCTCTGAGAAATATAGTGTTTTTAGTCTTTTCACTTGTGTTATTCTGTACAAGCGACATTACAGTAGTGAAAGGAACCAAGGTTTTTTCATTTTAATTTACTGCAAGCAAAAACGGTAATCCTAGTGAGTATTTGCCACATTAAATCATGTATACTTTTAATTTTGCATTTATTTTGAATTTTTTTCCATGTTTGAGGAGGATTTAGGAACTCGACAAATCATTCAATATAAATTGCCTGTAAAGGCATATTTTTCTGCGCTGATGCCATATTCTGTTTTTCCACTCCCTGATCAATCTGCTTTCTACATGTAAATGTCATGCTTTCTCATTATAAGTGACCCATTTAGACAGAATGCAGCTTTGAATTGTTTATGGTCTTGACTTGATCTGGATGCACAGTAGATAGTCATGAGAAGACTAAAGGAGGAATATATGCCCCCTCCGCGTATATACATACTTAAGTTTATAGATAAATAGATTAGTATCTGGTTAGCAATTTCAGCAGTTTATTCAGTTGAATTTTATTATTTGCAAATGGCAGAAATAATGGGAAAGTATACGACAGTTCAGGGTTTTTTTGCTGAAGGTAAAAACAATACTTTCATTGTACGGTTCAAATTATTTGGTGTGCTTGACATTTCAAAATTGGAGACATGCTTTTTTAAAAGTCTTAAATGCATTTTTTTCTTTCTTAAAACAATTGAACTGTTTGACCACTGAATCAAAATACTTCATTGTTACTGAATGATATTGCCTGAAGAAACAGTGTGAAATTCAAAATCCCTACATTCTTATTAGAGAGAAAAAATCAGAGAAAAAAGTGAATCACTTTGTATATTAAAAGAACATGTTGTTATTGATAAACTGTGTCCTCATTGTTCATTTGATAAGCAGCTGAATGACCAATAGCCACTCAAAATGGTGTGATTAATAGTGTGATTACAACAGCTAACACTACTTACCCCCCACCCCCCATTTACAATGACGTGTTCAGCCTTTTTTCCCTTTAGTGGTACCCAGCTGTCATCACAGACAGTGACAGGAGAATGTTAAGAGCTCACAAATTATATGTATTTTTCCTTATTGGTGTGGAAGGGGATGCTGCTTAGTTGCTGTGACCATACCTGCGAACCTGTCATGTCAACCTGTCATGTTCACACTTTGGATTATGACAACTTTTAAAATGTATTTAGTCTGAAGAAAATCTGCAATTCAGGAAGAAAATGAAAAAATATTTTCATTTTTGAATTTTTGGGGGTGCTTGAATGCAGATGTTGGAATTATAGTGAAGCATAGGGATGATTATGAAATCATGGATCTCTTCAAGGTTTGCACTTTGCACTTGAAAAATATTGACTGTTATTGGTATGACGATATTTCTCTTTCATAGTTCCTGGTTTTTTTGCCTTCATTTAGCATGATCTATCTATTATGTGTTTAATTGATATCCATAGTATAGTTCCAGGTCATCTGGACTAGTTTTTCTAACTGTAGTGTCCCAGCAACTTTAATTGTAATTCATATATTCTAATTTTCGTCCTCCTGCCATCTCAAGTGGAACTGTTTCTTTCTTTCTTTCTCCTCTGCTTTCTACAAAATCAATGGGAGTATAGATTGTCACTGCTTATCAACTCCTGTGCTCTTCACAGCAGATGCTTTGAACCTCCCACTGAACAGCATTACGTATTGCTAGCAGCCATGATGGAAGTGAATAGTTTCATATTGATGCATTTCATAAATACGATAAAGATAGCTCTAATAAGAGGCTTGCAGATTTGGAAGTCTTGTTATTTTAGAGAATTTTATGCAATAAGATATTAAGTGCAAACATAATTCTTACCATAGTGGTCCCAAATGATGACCTTCTGCCTTACACAATCTCTGTACATTCTAGTGTTTAACACTTACGATTTGTTTATGGCTGTAACAATTGTCAGCAGGGAAATATATTACATCTGTTTTCTGAAAATAATGAATTACTAGAAACTGTATAGTTCAAAGTAATGATTGTAAAACAGAAATGGACATCTTCCACCCTCC